TTAGGGGTGTTTTGTTGTGGTACTCTCTCAGAAGAAACAGTGTGACTGTGGTGGAACCCTCAGGAGCACGTCTGCAGTACCTTCAGTTAGAGAACATAATTGCACCGTATTGGGTTACAGTATATATTCTTAGTCGCATTGACTCCATACAGCCTGCCTGCTCTCCCAGCTTTCTACTGTACTTGAACTGAAGGAAGCTAAAAATATACTCCTCACTATGACCTTAAAGGACAACTCCACCCATTTTCCAAAAAATACCTGCATAACTAAACGGTTAAGATGTAATCAGAGTGGTTTGGTGTGAAACGCTCTGTTCTAGATAAACTTACCGAGTCAGAACTGTTCACAGTGGTGGTGATAGGAACCAGACGTCCACCTCTAAAAGCTCCCTCACAGAAAGTTCCTACATGAAATGGTTATGAATTCACTGCCTGATGACTGAGACACTGTTTTATGATAGTTTAGAGAACTTAAACTCCATTCATGGTGGAGGGATACATGCAGGGCGCTGTGAGGCAAAATAGTCCCCAAAGAAAACTGATTATTTCAGATTTTCCACTATTTTCCATCATCAACATTCCATATAGACTCAGAAGACTCGTGTAGGTTCACTGGTGGTTCTGGATAGTAAATAAAATGTCTATATTTGTGTTGTAGTCATGGCGACCCCTGGTTCCCATCACCACCACTGTAAAGACATCTGAACCATTTCACACCAAACCACTCTGAATCTCTCTGTTTACATCTCACACACTGAATTGTGGAGGAATTCTGGAAAATTGGTGGAATTGCCCTTTAAGGCCTTGATGAACAAAAATTTACCAGGACTGAACCTTTTATGTAATGGTTAGTGATGGACAGTGATGGACAGTGATGGTTAGAACTGCTTTTCTCTACTAAAAACACAATCTGTCTCTCTCTTTCTGTCTCTTTCTCTCTCTGTGTCTCTCTCTTTCTCTCACTCGTTTGTCTCTCTCTCTCTCTCTCTCTCTCTCTCTGCCCCTCCCCTTCACAGTGCTCCTCTAATGACTCTGCTGTACAGAGCGATAACCCAGCATATCTCACACCTCCACTAACAGATCACAGCTCACACTAAACACTCTCTACCGGCAGATAAACCCACACAAACACTCCACTCGCCACAGCTCTCGTTCTGCATGAAGCTCCGCCCCCTCCCGGCTCAAACTCTGAGAACAGACTGAAAATCAATACTTTAATTACACGCTGCTATAACGGACTAAATTACTGTGTTTAAGCTCCAGAAGTTCAGAGTTCATGCAGAAGCTCAGTGCTGAGGGTGGACGCTCTGTCAGCGCTCACTGCTCAGGACATGGAAACCAAGAGGCTTGTTAAAGTTGCTCAGTCCTGTAAACAAAGACTCAAACCTATTTCTAACAGTGTCTCTGTGTTACGGACAGTCAAACACTCATTTTCTACAGATTGATTTAGCTCTAAATGTTCTACACGCTCTAGAACATTTAGGCTCTAACGCTGGGGTCACCAAACAGATTTGACCTGAAGCCAAATGCTCACAGAACCAATACTCCAACACCCACCTACTGAACGAATGTGGTGTATTTCTTTAGCACCAGATACTATCAGGGGAGCATCAGGTACTATGAGGTGCAAACCAGATACTTCGTGGTGAGCATCAAATGCTATCAGGTATGCACCAGATACTACGTGGTGAGCACCAGACACTATCAAGTAAGCACCACATATAAGCAAGTGAGCACCAGATACTATCAGGTGAGCACCAGAAACAATGTGCTGAGCACCAGATACTATCAGGTAAGCACCAGATACTATGAGGTGAGCACCAGGTATTATGTGTTGAGCACCAGATACTATGTGTTCAACACCAGAAACTATCAAGTGAGCACCAGGTACTATCTGGTAAGCACCAAATACTATGTGTTAAGCACCAGATATTATGTGGTTAGCACCAAATACTATGTGTTAAGCACCAGATATTATGTGGTGAGCACCAAATACTATCAGGTAAGCACCAGATACTATCAGGTGAGCACCAAGTACTATCAGGTAAGCACCAAATACGATCAGGTGAGCACCAAAAACTATGTGTTGAGCACCAGAAATTATGTGGTGAGCACCAAATACTATCAGGTTTACCTAAAAAAACACACCACATCCTTTCAGAGGCTCCATATCCAACAGATCACAGGCCTGGCTTATAACTCACTGACAAACTCCTTCAGGTTTAGCAGTCTGAATGTCCTCCACAAGGGGGAGCTGTTACCACTCAAGTATTTGTTCTAGTCACGTTTTGTACTTTTTTTATGCTCCCCATCCTCCACGTTTTTCTAAACGTTACGGTCGTGTCTGCAGCAGCAGAAAAGAAGAGTCAAAAGCATCTTAAGCTCTATTCTGATTGGATCAGTTTATCAGGAGGATGTCAGCCAAGCCTGTCCAATCGGTGTCTCCTCAGTGATCAGACTCACACATCAGGATGGCAAAAAATTACTGCAGTTTTGGGCTGTAAAAATGTGTCACAATGCATTTAATAACACAACGCAAGTGCAAGCTGCATTCTGAGTGTTACAGCAGGGGGCGCTATAACGACAGCCAAGCAGTCTCATTCCACCAGCACTCTTTCTCAACTGCCACAGCAGACGAGCAGCTGAGTCTCACACAGAGACGGCTTACATAAACATAGTAATATGGTCCATTATGGCCTTTCAGTTCCAGCAGAGGAGGTACAGCAGCTCACTCTCCTCTGCTGACTACGTTCAGCTGCTGAGGCTGTTGGAATAACAGTAGATCCTCTCTGATTCATCCTCTAGCGCCCCCTTCAGTACTGAGTGTTTTAACCACCACAGTATCATAAGAGCACATGGTGAGTTTGTACAGAAGGACCAAGCGTTTGCATTTGCTGTTTCTGGCCTTAACGCAAACACAAGCATGCAAGGCTTTATTTGGTGGGCTGCAACAAGCTTACAGCACACACTGCCCCCTACAGCGCAGGATGAGTGTTGGAACAGATGTGAAAATAAACACGAATGCATCAACTTCTGAGAGCAAAAGTTCAGAAGTCTGCTGTTTGTTCTAAGGTGCACGTTCCTGCTGAGCAAAGCGTGTTTTTCGAGGTCACAATCAGCGGAGTTTCATGCCAGCAGCTCACACTGAGCACGCTCAAACCAAACCGGACCAGCCCGACCTGACTCATAATTACAGAGAGCAGAGCTGCAGAACATTCCAGAGACATGAAGCACAAACCTGGATGTGATGGAGCCGCCAGACAGGTCAGAGGGACTGACAGACAGGGGGCGCTGTATAGTGACGACTACAGAGTTTAAACTACTAATTCAATGACGATTCAAATGTTGATTCCATTCATTTTGCTGCAGAATATCCTCTACAGAGAACATTTAAACATGGCATTTCCCTGCACATTTTCTATTTATTTGCTGAGTGTTACGTAGGTTTTGGAGCCCCCTCTGTTGGAAATGTGTAACTGCATGCAACATTCTGTAGCGTGGTTTGTGCTTCTTCCCTGAGTGGATGAATCTGCTGACTGAAAGAGAATCAGAGAGAACTCAGTCTAAACTGAAGGAGCGTCTCTGAGAACGAGAGTGAATCATCTACTACTGTCATCACATCTTCATCAGTGTGATGGTGATTCTGAGATCATTTGAGGCCGAAACATCGAGCCGGACCTCCTTTTAGAGTCTGTGTGTGACGTTGATACGTAAAGACGTACGACGTGGTGGAAAAAACTCGACACCTCTGACTTTTAAACGGTTATTTCAGGCTTTACAGGCAACTCACAGCAAAACACACTCAACATATTTTAGCCTGTTTATTCTCCTCACTCAGTATGCATTAATCTGGGAATAAGGGCTGTTTTAGCTCAGATTCTAGAAGATTCTGCAGTGATAATTACGGAGAAACTGCAGGTGTCAGATTTTGTTCACTTTCACTCCCAAACTGATCAAATCGGAGTGCATCAACTCAAAAACGGACAAATATTAATACACCCTGTCCATCAGCCTGACCTCTCTGACCACTGCATAGTCACAATCTGTAGAGCGTTATATCACAGTAATAACAGACATGACTCCCTGAGAGGTGAAAACGTATAGTTATATTAGTGTTATATCACAGTAATAACATATATAACTGCCTAAGAGATTAAGTTATAGTTACATCAGTATTACATCACAGTAATAACAAATATAACTCCCAGAGAGATTAAGTTATAGTTATATCAGTGTTATCCCACAGTAATAACAGATATAACTCATTGGGAAGTCAAAGGTTATTTTATATTAGTGGTATATCACATTAATAACTTCCTGAGTGGTGACAAGTTATATTTACATAAGAGTTACTTCACAGCTGATATGACTCCCTGAGAGGTGAAAAGTTATAGTTATGTCAATGTAATATCACATTAATAACAGATATAACTTCCTAATGTTAAACAGTTATATTTATATTAGTGTTATTAGCTGATATTATTTCCTGAGAGGTGAAAGGTTATAGTTATATCAATGTAATATCACATTAATAACAGATATAACTCCCTAATGTGTAAACAGTTATATTTATATTAGGGTTATTAGCTGATACGATTCCCTGTGAGGCTGTAAATAAATCTGAGCCTATACAATGAACCATGTCACACAAAACCACCCTGACTGACAGTTTACATCGCAAACACTCAATTACGGGGGAATGCTGACATTTTGGTGGGATTCCCCTTCAAAGCAGGTGTATGTGTTGTGTGTATGTGTTGTGTGTGTGTGTGTGTGTGTGTGTGTGTGTGTGTGTGTGTGAAGGTGTTCTGCTTCTCTTTTTTGCTTTGTTTTGTTTTTAGTGGATTATGAGCACCGAACACCTCCACAGTCACCTCTGCTCCAGCCTGTCTGACTGAACCTCAGCCCAGCTCTGAGCTCTGATTCTGACAGTGCAGCTTCAGCTGCTCGGCGCTCAGACGAGCTTCATAAAGCGCGCGGAGTGAAATGAAGCGCACGTACCGATCATACCTGCTCAGCTCGGCGCGGCTCTCACTCTCACTCTCACTCACAGATCACCCCGGGCTGGTCCTCTCTCCTCAGCAGGTCTGGGGTCGGAGCGCTGCTGGAGTGTTGGGGAGTGTTGAGGAGTGCCGGGGAGTGAAGCAGGGTGAATCCAGCCGCTCGGTTCCGCTCTGATTCAGTCCGCTCTGATTCTCTGTCGCCATTAGAGTCACTTTCAGCTCTGAGTATCTGAGATCGGGCGGAGAAAACCGCTCCGTTTCACACCCGTATTCAGACAGAGCCCCACCCGCCGCGCCGCTGCTGTTCCTGGGATTGGCTAGTATAGTTGGAGGGGCCGCGCGTAAAAATGAGCTACTGATCAATCACAGCGCAGGAGGTGTGGCTGAAAACTAACAGCCAATCACAGCGCAGGAGACGGGGCTCTGCTAACCTGTGATCCTGTAATGATTCATAAAAGCTGAAATAGTTTATACATACATATATATATATATATATATATATATATATATATATATATATATATATATATATATATAAAAAGTGATTTACGTTTATTATTATTATTTATTCTTAAGTGGACTGACAGAAAGAGAGAGGGAGTAAAAGAACAGAAAGAAAGGGACAGATAAAGAGACAGAAAGGAAATACAGTGAGGAGAGAGAGGGGGAGGGAGGCAAAAAGGAGAGAGAGATAAACAGAAAGGTAAGATAGAGAGCACAGAGAGAAAGAGAGAGATGGTGGAGAGAAAGCGAAAGACAAAAGGAAAAAGAAATAGAAAGAGAGAAAGGAACTGAAGAGAGAGAAAGAGAGATAAATAAAGAGTTGAGAGAGAGGGAGAGCAAGGAGAGACAAAAAAGAGACAGAGAGAGAGACAGAAAGAGAGAGAGAGAATAAGAGAGAGTGTGGGAGAGCGAGAGAGTGAGTGAGAGAGAGAGAGACAAAAAAGAGACAGAGAGACAGAAAGAGAGACAATAAGAGAGAGTGTGAGAGAGTGAGAGAGAGAGAGTGAGAGAGAGTGAGAGAGAGAGAGAGAGAGAGAGAGTGTGTGTGAGAGAGAGAGAGAGAGAGAGAGAGAGACAGGGAGAGTGAGAGAGAGAGAGAGACAGAGAGGTTAATGAGCAGCTACAGCTTCTTTGCCTCTTTAAGTTCTAGGTAAGTTCTAGTTAATCTGTGCTATGTGTTCCTCTCTGCAGTGAAAGTGACAGAACCTTTATTTACTGTTTACACTCTGCTGCTCACATTACTGACCAGCTCAGCCGCACTGGAGTCTGATTTCTCCCACAGACCCGTGTGGCGTCCGAGCGCCGGCCTGTGGAGTGATGGACTCAGACTCCTCCTCACAGCTCTGAATGCACAGCGCCTTTGTGGCGTTAATAAAGCCTCGGGTCAGAACGCCACGCTGCAGGGATGTTTACTGACCATTCTGCTGAAATGAAAGAGAAGAGCATGAATAGGCAACAGGTGCTCACCTGAACGGCCGAGCCACGCCCATCTCCCCAAACCTGCTGCGCACCTGACTCTACAGGAGAGGCTGTAAAAACACAACAGAGCTGCAGAGAACAAAGTCAACACTGTACAGTTCCAGCACAGAAGACCTGCTCAGACACACGACACACAGCCACACGCTGACCGGTCTGTTCAGTTAAAGGACGCATACCATGGAAAAACAAACGTTCCACTTAATTTAAAGTGCTTTGATGTAGTACGTAAACATTGTTAGAGTTTAAACACTGTTCTCTACCCAGTCCATACAGTCCACACAGTCTATACAGTCTACACAGTCCATACAGTCTATACAGTCCACACAGTCTACACAGTCCATACAGTCTACACAGTCCATACAGTCTATACAGTCCACACAGTCTACACAGTCCATACAGTCTATACAGTCCACACAGTCTACAGTCCATACAGTCTATACAGTCCACACAGTCTACACAGTCCATACAGTCTATACAGTCCACACAGTCTATACAGTCCATACAGTCTACACAGTCCATACAGTCCACACAGTCTACACAGTCCATACAGTCTATACAGTCCAGTCTATACAGTCCATACAGTCTATAGTCCACAGTCTATACAGTCCATACAGTCTATACAGTCCACAGTCTATACAGTCCATACAGTCTGTACAGTCCACACAGTCTTTACAGTCCACACAGTCTATACAGTCCACAGTCTATACAGTTTATACAGTCCATACAGTCCACACAGTCCAGTCTATAGTTTATGCAGTCCATACAGTCCACACAATTTATACAGTCCACAGTCTATATAGTTTATACAGTCCATACAGTCTATACAGCCCATACAGTCCACACAGTCCATAGTTTATACAGTCCACTGTCTATTCAGTCTATACAGTCCATACAGTCCACAGTCTATACAGTCTATATAGTTTATACAGTCCATACAGTTTATACATGGAAACAGGACAGTTTTAAATAAATTCCCTTTTTGATGTCACAAAAACTCTTTTACACACATCTGCCCTTTTGGGGGTTATAAGGGGTCTTTCACCCCAGACTGCTTTTAGAATGAGGCACAGCCAATCAGAGCAGAGCTCATTTACATATATCAGTCTTAAAGGCACAGTAACAAAAACCGCCAGTTTAACTGAAGGTTATAAAGAAAGGCTGGGAAATGACCATGACCTACAATTGGTCACCTACAATTAAACAGCCTGTAATAAATATTATATATTATAAATATACACACACACACACACACACACAAACACACACACACACACACACACACACACAAACACACAAACACACACACACACACACAAACACACATTCTCCAAGCCGCTTATCCTTCTGGGTTGCAGGGGGAGCTGGAGCCCATCCCCACAGTGATTGGGTGGAAGGCAGGATACACCCTGGACAGGTCATATATATATATATATATATATAAAACACTGTAAACTATGAATAAAGTATTGGTTTGAGTTTTGTTATTTAGTTATATATATATATATATATATATATATATATATATATATATATACATATATGTGTGTGTGTGTGTGTGTGTGTGTGTGTGTGTGTGCTTATTTACACATATATATTTCACTGCTGTGGGAACAAACCTAGTATCTCCAGAAAGGTACACTATTAGAAATGATGGCTCTTCAAGGGTTCTGATGGTATATAGAACCACGAACACTCAAAGAACCCTTTGCATGATTAAATGGTTCTCTGTCTGGTGAACTAGTTCTTCGGATTGATGGAAAATGTGCTGTAGATGGTTCTATTTATAACTGCTTTGAAAAGGGTTCTATATAGCACCCAAAAGCGTTCTTCTATTGTGTAAACTTTACATTGTCACAATAGCAGAACCTGTTTGGCTGCTACATAGAACCCTTTTCAGAAAGGTTCTATATAGGACCATTAACAGCACATTCTTAATGCTTAAGATTCTTAATGCTTGTCCACAGTGCTGATGTATCAGTGAGCAGCTCAGCCGGTGCGCGTACAGTAGAGGTGTACACACACGTCTGATTTGACTTGTAAACGATGTGTGAGATTTTCCGGCTCTGCACTTTCGGGAACGGCCCTCATCCCGAGAGCTTCCTTGATGGACACCACAGAGGAAACGACCACACGACCAGAGCATCTGTGGTTTAAACACCTTTATTTAATATCAGCATGCACTGTCTCCATTTATACACCACTATTACTCTGTATGATCCTGTCAGATACAGTTCTTACTGTACGTCTTAAAATCAGCAGCACAGAAGCAGGAGGTCCCAATACGATTATTAATACGATACATAAAAACACAATCTCATCTTATTCAGTTAAAGGCATTAAAGAGGTCCCGAAAGTGTCTCATCATCAGATCCTTCACAACCATCTGGAGATCAAACCTCATGAAGGCCACACACCAGGTTGGCAGGCACGGCGATGTCTGTCAGCAAAACAACAACATGTTATATATGAATTTGTTTTGATCACAATTCAGCTCCTGAATATTCCTGAATCCTGTAATTACACACTTTGTGCCTGAGGGTTCTTTAAGTGATGCCATAGAAGAACCAGTATGGTTCCCTAAAGAACTTTCTGTTGATATGTGGGTCAATGACGAATAAGGTTTTCAAAAATGACAATCTTTTTATATTTGCACATCTGGACGTTTTCTATGTTAAATACAGTGAGAGTTATTACAGCTTTAGTTGCCTGTTTCACTTATTAAACTATGCTGGTCTGGTTGCTCCATCTGACTGACTGGTTGCGCCGCCTGACTTTTCAGACTAATTTAAAATGAAACAGGATCTACTTTGTAGAAATTTTTGTCCTTCAACTTGAGTTTATACTTACATTTTTTTTCAAATAAAGAAATATTAATATGATAATTCCACATTTTCATGGTTCTCCTGAGGTCAGACCACCTGACACGGTAAACAGATCCGTTCTAACCGCGACTCAAACATCACACTTTTACTGTGACCTTGGCATTACACCGTGAAGGTCACTTGAGGTCTCTTTTATAATGCAATACCCTGGCCCCTCTTTTGTAAAAGCATGTCAAAATAAAAGTCCTTTGCTTTTGGCCAGACATTTGAGGAAGTAAGAAGTTGCAGACAAAAAGTTTTTCAGTAAGTTGAGCTCTTTTGAAGTTGCCTTAATTTACAACATGAATTCTGTTTTAAAGTTTTAATCAGCATATATGGCTGGACGGCTGCACCACCTGAGTTTTTTAGACTTTTAGAGACAAAAAGAAACTAAAATGATTTTTTTATGAATGCACTGAAAACTGTTTTACATAAAAATGTTACTGTTTAATAATTTAATATTTATCATGCATTTATTTATTTATTTTTTGGAAAAAAGTTTACTTGGACACAAAAAATGAAAAATACATGTCACGTCAATAACCCACACATACACACACACACACACACACACGCACGCACACACACATTTATATGTGTGTATATATATATATATATATATATAGGTTCTTACTGATTTAAGGGTTCTTCCAAAGAACTTCTAACCTTCTAACGTAAGAAGTTCTGGAGGAAATTTATTCTCTTGAACGTTGAAAAACGTTCTAAAAGCTCTACATTAACCAAAAGTGGTTCTTCCTTGCCGCTGGCCAAAGAACCTTTTATTTTTATCTTTTAAAGCTTTTTGTGATTCGTTTAACTGGGCGAGGAGGTCGTTAACAGTCATTAATAGTTCTGCAGGTGTATTATATTTGTGTTGGACTTTGTACTGTAATTCAATGTAAGTGAAGTTATAGTGTGTAAATACAAATCTTAATTATGTTGTGATCAAATATTGAGGAAACTGCACAAATATTGTAAACAGATAATTACAGTATATTGTTTATAGCTGAATATCACTGTTGTGCACAAAATACATGAAATACTGAATAAAGCATCTAAAAATCATGTTGACGTCCAATTTAATTAGTTTAATTACTTCTACGTTATCATTAAAAGAAACATTTATACTTTATTTATACATACTTTAACAAAATGTAAATGTATAGTTGTGTGGAAAAGTTTGTACGCCCCTGGTCAAATTCTACATTTTATTGAAAATAAGTAAACACTGAACTCACACTCTACACAGAACACACTTCAGCACATCTGGTGTTTATTTATTGAATTGAACATTTTGGAAAAAAAATTCAAACACAAAATATAAAACGTGCCGAATCTTCTGCCACGTTCTGTGTAACTTTTCCAGTGAGTTAAATTCAGTAAATAAACAGTAACTGTGTATTAAAATGTGCAGTAGTGACTCTCTGTAGAGGGTGTGTTTACTTATTCACACTCAGAAAATCAACATAATGGAATCTGATCAGACGCGTTTAGACTTAGACTGTTTATTGTCAAAATAAAGGGTTCACGACTGCAGGCGGACAGTAAACGAACCGTCTGCTTCCTCACAAACTCACACAGAAAAAGAGGAACAGAAGCTGATTAAAGTCTTTGTGTGATTTAGATTAAAAACTGATTTTAAAATATTGTTTTTGTTCATCTGAAGTTATTTTCCTTTGATTTGTTTCAATCAGCGTGTTTATCTGAGCTGATTAAAACCATTTCAACTGTCTGTGAATGTTTTAGTTCGAACCGACAAACCATTTAAAGTGCATCAGTGATTTAGGAAGTTCTACAGTCTGTCCAGCAGGTGGTGCTGAAAAGCCACTGCAGAGTCAGTGAGCTGCAGTGAGATATTATGAATAAAAGTCTGTGCAGTGAAATATTATGAATAGTAGTCTGTGCAGTGAGATATTAAGAATAAAAGTCTCTGCAGTGAAATATTATGAATAAAAGTCCCTGCAGTGAAATATTATGAATAAAAGTCTGTGCAGTGCGATATTATGAATAAAAGACCCTGCAGTGAAATATTATTAATAAAAGTCTGTGCAGTGAGATATTAAGTATAAAAGTCCCTGCAGTGAAATATTATGAATAAAAGTCTGTGCAGTGAGATATTATGAATAAAAGTCCCTGCAGTGAAATATTATTACTAAAAGTCAGTGCAGTGAGATATTATTAATAAAAGTCAGTGCAGTGAGATATTATGAATAAAAGTCTCTGCAGTGAAATATTATGAATAAAAGTCCCTGCAGTGAAATATTATTAATAAAAGTCAGTGCAGTGAGATATCATGAATAAAAGTCCCATGAAGTGAAATATTATGAATAAAAGTCTCTGCAGTGAGATTTTATGAATAAAAGTCTCTCTGAATGGATGAATTCAGTACCTATTTTCGCAGGTTTGGGGAGATTTAGATTGTCCATAATCTTGACAAACTCCTCCAGTGATTTAGTCAGCCGAGGATTGAATTTCTTTTCCTCGTCCACTGTCGACACAGTCTGTCCTGCTCAGAGAAAGCAGCGAAAAGACGGTCAGTCGAAAAACAGATATATAAAAGTCTTAGACACTTTAAAAAACATACAAAGTAAAGCCACTTATCTGGGCAGTAAACATTTACTCTTCAAGAACCACTAAAGTCAGAATAAATGCAGATAAAAAATACACTGTGATTTTATGACTGTCAGTGTGTTAGTTTAACCAATCCTCCATTCAGTGAAATCAGTTTAACCAATCCTGCATTCAGTTAAATCAGTTTAATCAATCCTGCATTCAGTTTAATCAACCTTCATTCAGTTAAATCAGTTTAATCAATCCTTCATTCAGTTAAATCAGTTTAATCAATCCTGCATTCAGTTTAATCAATCCTTCATTCAGTTAAATCAGTTTAATCAATCCTGCATTCAGTTTAATCAATCCTTCATTCAGTTAAATCAGTTTAATCAATCCTGCATTCAGTTTAATCAATCCTTCATTCAGTTAAATCAGTTTAATCAATCCTTCATTCAGTTAAATCAGTTTAATCAATCCTTCATTCAGTTAAATCAGTTTAACCAATCATTCATGTAGTTAATTCAGTTTAATCAATCCTGCATTCAGTTTAATCAACCTTCATTCAGTTTAATCAATCCTCCATTCAGTAAAATCTGTTAAATCAATCCTTCATTTAGTTAAATCAGTTTAATCTATTCTTTAATGCCCAGATAAGCAGTCTGAGCTGAAGCTGAGAGAGAGAGAGAGAGAGAGAGAGAGAGAGAGAGAGAGAGAGAGAGAGAGCCCTGTAACCTGTTGCTTTGGCAATACAAATGTAGCACTATTCGTCATGCCAATAAAACACCTTGAATTGAATTGAACTGAACTGAACTGAACTGAATTGAATCGAATTGAACTGAATTGAACTGCATTAGGAGAGAGATTCTGAACACAGACCTTTGTAGTCATGTGCTGGGTAGACGAGACAGCCTCCCGGCAGAGTGAAGATCTTCTGATGAATAGACTCATACAGTTTCTTTGAGCAGCCTGAGAGGAACAGAAACAGAGGAGCTGAGTAATGGAGCACTGCTGCCACCCTGTGGTCATCTGTGCTCATGGTACTACAGCAGTAGAGCCAGACTAACAGGAACAGTAAAGCAACGATAATGTCTGGATTACAGCACAACTTAATGAAGTGTGGGTTTAATCAAAGACAGAGAGACATCATAAAATAATTAATAACACTACGCGGTCAGGAACCTTGCTGGAAGTCGGTTCTGCCACAGCCACGGATGAGCAGCGCGTCTCCGGTGAAGGCCATTGACTGATCTCCGGTCACAAACGTCACGCAGCCGTCAGTGTGACCTGGCGTCTCTCTCACAGTCAGGCTCTGAAACCAGCAGAACGGACACAGTAAACAAGAGGAGAGTGAAAGGTAGTACACTACACTCTGGAAAGGGTTCTTTAAGTGTTCATGGTTCTGTATAAAACCACTGTCTACTAAAGAACCCTTGAAGAACCGTCTTTTTTAAAAGAGTGTACCATTTAAATGTCAGATTTCTATTTCTAGTCAAAACAGCCATTAAGTAGAATTTAAATTCATTTTTAAGGTGATGTTTGTGACATTATATGTAAAATAATCCACCTGTGTAATGAAGGAGGAAGTTAAAGTGACAAACAGAAGCTCAAAAACTGATTAAAGCTACAGAGAAAATATCTCCTAACAACCACCTGGAAGACCTGGTCGACCCCAAAACTGCCCCCATCAGATAAACAGCACTTAAAGCTTTCATCTCTGAGAGAGAGGAGAAAATCAAGCTGATCAGATCTGAAAACATCCACAGGTGTTTCTGTCCATCCTTCCACTGTGAGAAGACGACTCAGCGCTGTGGGTCTGAAAGGATGTGTAGCTGATCAAGAAGAACCTCACTGAGAAAAGGAGACGGACACACCAAACAAAGAAGCTGAACGATGGACTGACCACCCCAGAGTCCAGACCTCAACACCACTGAATGTGTTTGATTACTTCAGAAAATCATCAACCAGCTTCTAAGACTGAACTTTGGAGGTGTGTCTGCAGATTCTTTGAGGAACTGAAAGTGAGTCTCCTGAACAGAATGGAAGCTGGAATAAAGGGAGAGAGACTCACTGACTCACACAGCTGAGAGTAGAGTGAGCTGGTGTGTTGTTTTCTGTTAAATCTGTTTGTTCTGACACTGAAAAATGAATAACTTGTATTTCATGGCTGTTTTGACTGGAAATTAAATAAATAAATGTGTTTTTTCTTTTTTGTACATCCAAATAAAGAGAAGCAAAACCCACTTTTATTATCGAGGGTCATAAAGTTAATCTAATCAAATCCAGTATGATTATCTTCAATCCGCCCCACTACAATTCTAGTTAAGTAACAGTTATGGCAGATATTGTAATCACTATAATTACAGTGTAATAAACCTGTAACTCTTCACTAAAGCTCTGTTCACATTATTAGCCACGTTTCTCAAATCTGATGTTCTTCTCAGATCTGATCTCTCTAACATGATGGTTCACTCGTTTAGGTAAGAGACTCTAATCTGTCAGTAATGTGAACCGGCGCCCTGAAACGACCCGCATGAGCTCATCATAATCAGTAACGTCACGTAATGAATCACGTCATGATCAGCAAACTGACCAGCAAACTGACCAGCAGAGTCTTCACTGTGAATATAATCAGCTCTGATCGGCTCTCAGCTTCACTATTAGAGCCAGGGGTGGCGCCACACCTCTAAAAGTGGTGGGGCAAAACATACTGTTTCAACAAAAAGCGGCTGGCTGAGTGACGAAATGCGATTAGGCCACTGACTAAAACTGCCTTTCATGTCATGCTAATGACGTCTTCATAACCCCATTCAGAGGTGGGTAGGGCTTACATTTACTCAGGTACATGCACTTCAGGAAATACTGATGGATTTTACTCTGCTGAGTATTTTCAGATCATATTTTTTGTTTATATACATATGTTTTGGGGAAAGTAATTATTTTATGCAAGTTGTTTCGGACAGTAATCAGATTTCTGCCTCACAACCGGTCAGTAAACTCACAGAAGAAGAAGACGCGATGTAAACGTACCGTAAAAACATCGTGCTGTAGCTTTGTTTTTAAATCACGCCACTTTACCTGAAAATATGATCACAATCATCTAGACGAAGAACATTTAAATCCTTTATTTTGTATTTGGTTTCCGCTCTGAATGTGTTTTGCTGCGTTTTGCGGCGACGCTGCTCACTTATTTCCGGAACCGCCGCCTGTTTTCACACATGCTCAGACTGAGAGAGACGAAAGAAATCAGAGTAAGAGTTTACAGCACTGAGAAATCTGATGACTGAGCTAAAATCCAGCCTCTTTATTGGATTCCCTAATCAGACTTCTAGATCACAGTGTGGTGTTAACATGATCATTTGAAAAATCTGATAACTGCAGAAATTCGATTATGATCAGATTATTGAGCACATGTAAACACACTGAGTGTGTTGTTATTGTGGGGAAGTGTGGCGCGTGTCTCATAATGCTGAGGTAAATAGCTGCATGATGATGTTTTGATCTGGGCTATTTGGGGTAATTTGGGGAATCGGCCAACCAGATCACTCACACATTACCGGATACCGGACCTCCTCCGATAAACTAATCCAGCTCCAATAGGGCTTTGCTCAGTGTCAGTGCCGTAATACTAGGATATTAGTTTTTATTTTCTTTGCTGATGTTTACACTTCTCTCTGTGGAGCTTTGGCCTTTTATTTCAGACCAAAAGGATCCAAATAGTGAAGAACAAAGTCTAACAAACGTCACTTTCTACGTGGATTCCTATTCGCCAGCTTCTTATTCAAATTTTCCGCTCCGCCCTTAAATGGTGCAGCTGTTACATTCTGGCGTCTCAGGTGTAGCATTTAAGGTGGAACGGAAAAACAGAATATGAAGCCAATTCCTGCCTCATAGTTCACACCTCTGGTAAACACTAATGCTTATTAAAGTGTAATTGACCCTAATTAGAGCGTAATTAACATGTTATGTCCTCCTACGTGTCTGCCAAAGCTGATTTTGTCTCCCTCGGTCAGCATGATGTCCGCAGCAGCTCCGCTGTGAACAGAGATGGCGCTCTTTAGCCCGAACACTCTCTGCTTCAGCAGCCCGCTGCCCGTGATGTGGTCCGCATGGCAGTGTGTGTTCACTGGAGGAGGAAACATAAAGAACACTGTGAGTTACAGTATAGAGGCTTTTTAAGTGAAACAGTAGAAGCCATATCGCCCCCTACACTTCCTGTAGTGTATTACAGTCTGTCAGAATGACTGTGTGGATCATATGAACATTAAACCCCTTTAAAGCAAAGCATGTCTGTGCATAACATCGTGAACACTGAATAGACTAATTGCTGCAGACTGATTTTGGTTAAACAGTAAAGAACGGAGGGTAATTTAGGTCATTTTGAACAGTGAAAACAATGACTGGGATGTGTTTTGTTCAAAGGGCATTAATAATAATCGTAATAATCATCATAATCAAAGTACATTTATTAGTTTATTAGTTATTCCCTATTAAGCGACTTTGAACCCTTTGATTTGGCAATAAACACATGCAAAAACAGTCAAAGTTTAACCTCCTGGTCAAATTCCATGCAGTTGTTGATTTTCTGAGTGTGAATAAGTAAACACATCCTTTACAGAGACACATTTTAATACACAATCACTGCTTGTTTACTGAATTTAATACACTGGAGAACAAATAAAACAAAACTTGTTCGCTAGTTGATATTTTATGTTTTATCGTTTCCAAAGTGTTAACTGAGCAAATAAACAGCAACTGTGCACTGAAATGTGCAGATGTTTGTTCTCTGAAAATTATTTTCCCACAGAAAATTAAGTTATACATGGAATTTGACTGGAGGTGCAAAATTTTTGCACCTCCAGTCAAATTCCATGTATAACTTAATTTTCTGTGGGAAAATAATTTTCAGAGAACAAACATTTTTCTGACTGGAGGTGCAAAAATTTTGCATCTGACTGGAGGTGCAAAAACGTCTGCATACAACTGGAGAACATTTTGCATGCACTGACTATTCATGACAGCAGAGGATCAGGGCTGTGTGAACTGAGTGTTTCTGATTAGAGGAATAAGGTCTGTGGCACTTTCAGAATGACAGAACTGAGCTACAACACTGAGTACAAGTGAAATGCAGAATACTGGCTGTAACGTCCAGGCAACCTGCTAGGCCACCTCTGGCCGCTAGGAGGGGCCAGAGAGCCAGGACTGAGTAACTAGGGCTGAGCAGTAGCAGCTGTGGGCTCGCTACTTAAGGGGGACTCACACGCTGCTCAGTCTTGAGTTCACGTCGCCACTTGCGTGTTGCTCTGACTCAGCCGGTAACTCGGTATCTGCCTCGAGTTTGGAGTCTCTGCTTTTCTCAAACTGTTCTTCAGCAAAGTTATATACAGAGATCAGGCACAACATTCTGACCACCTCCTTGTTTCTACGCTCACTGTCCATTTTATCAGCTCCACTTACTATATAGGTGCACTTTGTAGTTCTACAGTTACAGACTGTAGTCCATCTGTTTCTCTGATACTTTGTTAGCCCCCTTTTACCCTGTTCTTCAGTGGTCAGGACCCCCATGGACCCTCACAGAGCAGGTACTTTTTGGGTGGTGGATCATTCTCAGCACTGCAGTAACACTGACGTGGTGGTGGTGTGTTAGTGTGTGTTGCGCTGGTCTGAGTGGATCAGACACAGCAGTGCTGCTGGAGTTTTTAAACACCTCAGTGTCACTGCTGGACTGAGAATAGTCCACCAACCAAAAATATCCAGCCAACAGCGTCCTGTGGGCAGCGTCCTGTGACCACTGATGAAGGACTAGAGGATGACCAACACAAACTGTGCAGCAGCAGATGAGCTATCGTCTCTGACTTTACATCTACAAGGTGGACTGACAAGGTAGGAGTGTCTAATAGAGTGGACAGTGAGTGGACACAGTGTTTAAAACCTCCAGCAGCACTGCTGTGTCTGATCCACTCAGACCAGCACAACACACACTAACACACCACCACCACGTCAGTGTTACTGCAGTGCTGAGAATGATCCACCACCCAAATAGTACCTGCTCTGTGAGGGTCCATGGGGGTCCTGACCGCTGAAGAACAGGGTAAAAGGGGGCTAACAAAGTATGAAATGTCACATTTGTTTAGCAGCAAAAAATCCTGAGCCTTTAATAGTGATCACGCTAACTGGAGGTCTGTTACATGTTAGTGACTTTAGCCTCGTAGCTCCAGGGCTGAGACTGAAGGGCAGTTCAGACGCTGAACATGTGTCGACTTGTCTTTTTGGGGGGGTTATTTGGGCATATCTGAGGTTTTGTCTGATCTCTTTAAAGTGCTCTTTGATCTTTGTTTACCGGCTACTTTGAGTTTGAGGCCGAGCTCGTCGATGAGCTTCAGGTCTCGCTCCACCGTCTCCAGCACTGGGTCGATCAGCACGGCCTCCCTGCTCTCCACATCCGCCAGCAGGTAGGAGTACGTACTGCTCTCAGCCTCGAACAGCTTCAGAGAGAGAGACAGAGAGAGAGAGAGAGAGAGAGAGACAGAGAGACAGAGAGACAGAGAGAGAGAGACAGAGAGAGAGAGAGAGAGAGAGAGAGAGAGAGAGAGAGAGAGAGAGAGACAGAGAGACAGAGAGACAGAGAGAGAGAGAGAGAGAGAGAGAGACAGAGAGACAGAGAGAGAGAGACAGAGAGAGAGAGAGAGAGAGAGAGAGACAGAGAGACAGAGAGAGAGAGAGAGAGAGAGAGAGAGAGAGAGAGACAGAGAGAGAGAGACCGTATGAGTTTACTCATCAGAAGATCGTTTTCTTTCTTAATCACATTAACATATTTGCTAAATAACTTTCTTCACTTGTTATATACCGCATGCGTATATAAAACAGGTTTTGTTTTCTTATTATATATTATTTTATATTATTAATTGATTTTTTCTTCATAACCGTCGTACTGTTATACATTAATCTTGTGTTCTGTTCTTTTTCTTTACCTTCAATCTTTTACCTCTTTACAGATGACTGTCGCAGTGCTTTGACAATAAAAATGTCATTTTTGTCATTTCAGTAAAGCAAACCTGAACTTGAACTTGAGAGAGACAGAGAGAGAGAGGAGAGAGACATAGAGAGAACAGAGAGAAAGAAAGAGAGATGCAGAGAGAGAGACAGAGCAGAGAGAGAAAAAAGAGAGAGAGAGATACAGAGAGAGAGAACAGAGAGAAAGAGAGATGCAGAGAGAGAGAGACAGAGCAGAGAGAGAAAAAACAGAGAGAGAGATACAGAGAGAGAGAGAGAGAGAGAGAGAGACACAGAGTCACAGTGAATCAGCTAAATGTACAGGTCCCTCCTCCCAGCTTATCTTCATACCTACACACCATAAACACTGTTTCTGTCAAAGGTCACACACTAACACACACTAACACACGCTAATACACACTAACACACACTAACACACACTAACACACGGTAACACACACTAACACACACTAACACACGGTAACACACACTAACACACACTAACACACGGTAACACACACTAACACACACTAACACACACTAACACACTAACACACACTAACACACACTAACACACACTAACACACACTAATACACACTAATACACACTAACACACGGTAACACACTAACACACACTAACACACGGTAACACACGCTAATACACACTAACACACACTAACACACGGTAACACACTAACACACACTAACACACGGTAACACACACTAACACACACTAACACACGCTAATACACACTAACACACGCTAACACACACTAATACACACTAACACACACTAACACACGGTAACACACTAACACACACTAACACACGGTAACACACTAACACACACTAACACACACTAACACACGGTAACACACTAACACACGCTAACACACGCTAATACACACTAACACACACTAACACACGCTAATACACACTAACACACACTAACACACACTAACACACACTAACACACGGTAACACACTAACACACACTAACACACGCTAATACACACTAACACACGCTAACACACACTAATACACACTAACACACACTAACACACGGTAACACACGGTAACACATGGTAACACACACTAACACACACTAACACACGGTAACACACGGTAACACATGGTAACACACACTAACACACACTAATACACACTAACACACACTAACACACACTAACACACAGTAACACACAGTAACACACGGTAACACATGGTAACACACACTAACACACTAACACACGGTAACACATGGTAACACACACTAACACACACTAAGACACACTAACACACACTAACACACACTAAGACACACTAACACACACTAACACACACTAACACATTCAACCCTATACTATATATACATTACAGCTGCATGTTGACCTTCATTAAATCTCACTGTTGATTGACACAACAGCTGCTGATCTGCTCTTAACAGCGCAGTGATAGTGATTAACAGTGATCAATGGTGATTAATAGTGCTTTGTGTTCTGTTTTAGTGAGTTATAATGATGCAGACCAGAGAAAAAGCTCTAACATTTAATGCTGATCTGCGACAGTACTGATCATAACAGCTCTCGATAACCTAAATAAAAATTATATATATATATATATATACATATATATATATATATATATATATATGTATATATATAAACAATGCAGCTGCTTTACAAGGATAAAGGCAAATAAAAACCAGCACAAGAGAAGAACAGAAAATAGACAAAATAAAAGCCCTAAAAAAGTTAGAACAACATTCACTTTTTACTAGTCATCAGCATCTCTACCACAAAAATGATGAACCCCTAATAATAATAATAACAATAACAATAATAATAATAATAACACTCTAAAAAAAGATGTGTTAAATAACGACACACAAACTTGAGTCACCCATTTTAACACTTTTTGAGTCACACTGTTTTGTGATTTAACACATTCTGCAATAAAAACAACACAAAATGTGTCCAACTGAACACTGATGTGTCTGGTTACAGACAGAATGTGCTGTTTTTAACACATTTGCTTTATCAATAATAAAGAGAAGAAGAGAAAACAGACAAAATCCCTGAAAAAGTAAGGAAAATATTAAGATGTCATAAAAACTCCATTGATCCATTCAATGAAATGATCAACAGAAATAAGATAAAAAAGATCAAAACACATCAGTAATCTACAAAAAAGGCTTTTAAGTTAAGCTTTTTTCATAAAAACTCGATGGAAGAGTGTGGGGGGTTAATAAGCAGCCTTAAAGGGCAATTCCACCACTGTTTTTGTTTTTTTGTAAACAAAAGTCATTCAGAGTGCTCCACCACCGCTGGAGAGAGATCTGAGTGAGTGAGCTTCTCTACAACTAACCAAGCACCTTTTTGGGTGGAGGTGCCCTTTAAGTCACGTTGGGTGTTTCAGAAATGTCAGATTTGTTTATCAGCGAACTGCAGAGCCTTTAGCAGTAAAGCGGACAGTACAGCGCCGTGTGGAGAGATCAGATCAGCTCCACAGAGGAGATGCAGAACTACACGTAGGCTCCGAGTGCCAGAGGACGGGGCTCTCACTCACTCGGCACAGTGACCCACCCACCCAAATATCAACAACAATCAAACGAGGAAAACAGTCTCCGCTTTAACCCCCTGACTCCCTTTAGGGTTTCACTTCAGTCCGATTAGCCGGTTCAGCTCCTAAACTGCTTAAACTCTCATTACTCCCCAGCTTCTCCTTCCAAACTTCCCGGTCCACCTTAAAACGCTGCTGCTCACATTCAGGCGCCTGACGTGCCAAAGCGCAACAGATGCACACTTTTAAGGTGGACCGGGGAATTCGATCAAGAAGCAGAGCTCAGCCTCGTAGCTCCGGCGCTGACGTTCTAAGAAGTTCCGCTGGAGTTCCCTAAGCTACTCGGAAGTTCGGTGGGTTCTAGGTTCTAGGGTCTAGGTTTCACTTCTCCCTCTGCTCGAGTCGGTTTGGAGGTTATTTGTAAACGCGGCGGCGCTTTTCTCCTCCTCTGCTCTGCTCTGCAGGTGAGCGCTGTGAGGTGACCTCACCTGTCGGAACAGCAGCCCCTTGGTCTCCATGCGCGCGCAGTAAGCCCTCAGTCCGGTGTATCTCCAGCTCGCGGCGGTCAGCGCAGCTTTAAACCCGCGCGCGGCCAAGCCCAAACCCATAATTATCAGATTAGGTTACCAAAACAAACCAAACCGGTTTGAGAAGTAGCAGCTCGAGCCGCGTTCCGAAAACCTGTGCGCGTGCGAGCGGTGCAGATAAGAGCACTGTAATGACTGTAAACGGGCGCGCGGAGAGCGTGTCGTTCTGCAACGTCCGCCCCGCTCTCCACTGCGGCGTGACGTCACGCGACGTGACTGGCTTTTCTGTTTCATTCCTGAACACTGACTGGATCAGTTTAAAGATCTCCAGATCTGATCGGATCCCGTCAGATTCGGTTCAGATTCGTTTGATTGATTTTGTTTTTGAACAGTCTCGTGCGCGCTCACGGCACAAACAGGAAGAGTAGAGCGTTTCTTTTCGTGCGCGAGCACAGCACGAGCGCGCTCGGCCGCCACCTGGTGGTGAGAAGGCGCAACAAAAAGGCCCAAAACACAAACCTCACCACCTTAAACCTTCATTAAAACTGCAGAGTTCTTTAGCAAAGGGAAGGGTTCTATTTAGAACCATGAGTTCTGTATGGAACCACTTGCATACTTAAATGGTTCTCTGCATGGTGAAATGTGCTGTATAAGGTTCTATATAGCACCAAAAGGGTTTCTGCTAGCGTCATGATGTGAAGCTTGTAACAGCAGAAGTTCCCTTTTTGGTGGTGCTATACAGAACCCCTTTCAAAAAGGTTCTATATGGAACAATATACGCCACCTTCTCCATCAATCTGAAGGTTTCTTCTAAATAGAACCATCTTTTGTACGAGTGTGGACTAAACGCAGTTCAGTGCAAGGCTAGGCTTAATCCAAGACCACAAATCCGGCCCCTGCTCATCTTACCCAACATTTCTATAAAGAATTAAAGGACAACTCCACCCATTTTCCAAAAACCCACATAGCTAAGTGGTTAAGATGTAAACAGAGCGGTTCAGAGTGGTTTGGTGTGAAACGCTCTGTTCTAGATAAACTTACCGAGTCAGAACTGTTCACAGTGGTGGTGATAGGAACCAGACGTCCACCTCTAAAAGCTCCCTCACAGAAAGTTCCTACATGAAATGGTTATGAATTCACTGCCTGATGACTGAGACACTGTTTTATGATAGTTTAGAGAACTTAAACTCCATTCATGGTGGAGGGATACATGCAGGGCGCTGTGAGGCAAAACAGTCCCCAAAGAAAACTTATTATTTCAGATTTTCCACTATTTTCCATCATCAACATTCCATATAAACTCAGAAGACTCGTGTAGGTTCACTGGTGGTTCTGGATAGTAAATAAAATGTCTATATTTGTGTTGTAGTCATGGCGACCCCTGGTTCCTATCACCACCACTGTAAAGACATCTGAACCTCTACAATGAACTGTTTCACCCCAGGCTGGTCTAAGCTGGTTTTGTGCTGGTCTGGTGCTGGTTTAGCTGGTTAACCTGCATGGTTATTCTGGTTGACCAGCATAGTTTCCATAAACTCCAGTTGACTTTTGCATTGTGTTGAATGTCCTGATGAACAGACCAAAAAAAAAGTTGGAAAACTACTTGGAAAACAAATTTGACTGATATGATAATAATTTTCTCCTTCTTCTATAAAGATACTGGTTTAGAGATATGAGATTTGCTCCAACACCAACTATGTGATGCTGATCTGTGCATCTTCATCCACCTTCACATTCGTTTATTGTGTTTTAGTAACAAAAATATTTGCTAGCTGTTCTAGCGCTGATGGTAATGGCTGTTATTTTAGAGCTGGGCGATATGGCAAAAAGTCATATCACGATACTTCAGGAAGATTTTAATGATGCATGATGTCACAATATTTATTTTTTAAGTTAGGAGAGACAAAGTGGTGCCACAACTAAGAAATACTATTAAAACTAAGAATCCACTGATTTGTGTTCAGCATTTTGCAAATGCAATCAGTCAGGACTAGTTAAGCTCTATTTGTGATCAAACAAGCTGTTGAGATATGTTTTTAAGTGCTGATCAAGGTGTGAAATACAGGGGGTCCTGAAGGGTCAAGGGACCCACTGAATGTCTCAGGTCAAGGTCCCTGAAAATAAACTTATTATGACGTTATGCTGTAATGCAGAGCAGACGCTCAAATCCAGACTCAGTGAAGCTGATTGTTTATCTGCTTCCCCCACAATCAGCTTCTGTCTCTGGTGTTCTTAACTAACTAGAGCTGCAGCACTGCTCTGCCTCAGGGTGGCGCTGTAGCAGACTGGTTCACCCAGTCGGTCCGTCACAGCCTAGAAACTGTAACTCTGCCCGGATTCCTCTGAAACACTTTACAATGAGCTGCAGCAGATCTGTAAATCTGAAAACTCGCCCAGTTTCCCAAGAGTTTGGAGTGAAGAGTGACTGTTCCTCATTTCTCACACTGAAGACAGAAGAGGAGACGAGGAAGATCTCAGTTACTGTGAGGAAGAGCGCAGAACCGCACTAGAACAGAGACTCTACAGAAGAGGAGACGAGGAAGATCTCAGTTAATGTGAGGAAGAGCGCAGAACCGCACTAGAACAGAGACTCTACAGAAGAGGAGACGAGGAAGATCTCAGTTACTGTGAGGAAGAGCGCAGAACCGCACTAGAACAGAGACTCTACAGAAGAGGAGACGAGGAAGATCTCAGTTAATGTGAGGAAGAGCGCAGAACCGCACTAGAACAGAGACTCTACAGAAGAGGAGACGAGGAAGATCTCAGTTACTGTGAGGAAGAGCGCAGAACCGCACTAGAACAGAGACTCTACAGAAGAGGAGACGAGGAAGATCTCAGTTAATGTGAGGAAGAGCGCAGAACCGCACTAGAACAGAGACTCTACAGAAGAGGAGACGAGGAAGATCTCAGTTAATGTGAGGAAGAGCGCAGAACCGCACTAGAACAGAGACTCTACAGAAGAGGAGACGAGGAAGATCTCAGTTAATGTGAGGAAGAGCGCAGAACCGCACTAGAACAGAGACTCTACAGAGGAACAGCTGATAAAACATTTACTGACACTGAAGCTTCAGCGCTGCTGTCGTTTCACACTCTGATACTGATGATGTCCATGATATGCTTAGAAAAGCACAGTGACAAACTGGATATAATCACAGAAATTTCCTAGCTTTTCATTCTAAGTTCAGATCTGACAGGTCAAGATAAGATTTTTCACACATTCGTATTACAGAATCAAATCTGACCTTAATTTAGGGATTTTATCTTATCTTACAGCATCTTATCTCCAGTTAGGGAATCTTAACCTGCTTGATCAGAGTCATCAATCAGCTGTCATGTCTGTTTAGCAACCGACCATAAACACACAGCTGAAACGTAAAACACGTCATCAGAATAATGTTAAAATGTGAGTTAAGCTGCTGTTACTGATGTAAAAAAGGCCAAACAGAACTAAAGTGTGATCAGCTGTAAGTTGTGAATACTGTGAGAGCGCCCCCTGCTGTTTATCAGAGCGTCGCCGCTCCTCAGTTTCAGTCTCCATTTCCCAAACGCTTTAGCCGAGCGCACTAACGTTACTCCTCCTAATAAACAGACACACGTTCAGCTCCGTCTCCTCATTATTCACCACCATCACTGTAATATTTCATCATCAACATTAACACACGAAGGTGATCAGAGGGGCGGTGGAGATCGAGTCTGCAGCGTCTGAGATCTTTAAAACGCAGAGTTAGAAAAGAAAATCATCTCACAGTGAAAGCAGCGTTTTACAGTAGGAATAAATGGAGCTCATTATGCTGGTAGTGAACTATGCTGCTGACACAGCTGCCTAAAAACCATAGAAACGGACCTTAAACAGAAGTGAGGACCCTGTTGGGGTTCATCCTAAAGTTAGGACAGGATTTAGGAGGTTTAGTCTAGTTAGGATGTTTGTGTGATGCTGTTTTCTTATCTGGAGTTCATGATGAGATCATGAAGGTAGGAACTGTTATTCTGGAATAGATACTGTCCTGAATTCAGTCGTCATGGAGACCAAACACATCAGAGATCAGAGTTAAGATGTTTCTGTAATACGGCCTCTGGGCTGTGTCACTTTCGTTGTGGTGTAACAGTAGAGTGGGAGTCATGCCAATCTCCCTCCTGCTCACTCTGGAGCGGCTGAATTAGCTGAGTAATGCTAAATTAGCATGACAGCGCTAGGTGAAACACTAAACCAGCACGTAGCACCTCATGCTCACGCACTCCTACAGTTCCAGGAGGAGGTATAACATCAAAACACACCATAAACGCCCCGACGCTGTGGGAGCGGCTGGTAGGAAGCGCTTTATTAGTATGTTGGCAATAAGCCACCAAACCTGTACAGGAGCCTAGCGCGGCCTACGTGACCACCAGCAGGTTCCTCTACTGGAAACATCAGAAATACACAACATAACAGAAATATCAGTGTAACAAAAACATTGTGACAATATTGATTAAAAAACTGATCAGAACGAGTCATCCAGCGACGTCGGATCTCCGTCTGATCTCCCTGAGTCTTCAGCCTGAAACACACAGAGACCAGCTCACTGCAGATACGCAGCTCCTACAGAACAGGGTTCTGTATAGTACCAAAAAAGGTTCTATGTCTTGTGACAATAGAGGAACTCTTTGGTGCTATTTAGAACAATTTAAAAGGTTTGTTAAAGAAGTGCCTACAACAGGTTCTCAATCAGGGAGAACAAAAAACTATTAAAGACAAAAACTTCAGCATTTAAATGGTTCTTTGAGTTCTCACGGTTCTATATATAATCATTGTCGTTATTAAAGAACCCTTGAAGAACCCCCTTTTTAGGAGTGTAGCACAGAAAGAGACATTAAACGCTGTACCAGTATGTATTGATTGTTGTACCTGTATGTATTGATTGATGTACCTGTATGTATTGATTGTTGTAGCTGTATGTATTGATTGTTGTACCTGTATGTATTGATTGCTGTACCTGTATGTATTGATTACTGTACCTGTATGTATTGATTACTGTACCCATATATACTGATTGCTGTACCTGTATGTATTGATTACTGTACCTGTATGTATTGATTACTGTACCCATATATACTGATTGCTGTACCTGTATGTATTGATTACTGTACCTGTATGTATTGATTACTGTACCCATATATACTGATTGCTGTACCTGTATGTATTAATTACTGTACCTGTATGTATTGATTACTGTACCTGTATGTATTGATTGCTGTACCTGTATGTATTGATTACTCTACCTGTATGTATTGGTTTAGCCACTGCTGTAGCTGAGAGACACGAGTGTAAACGCCTGGTTTGTTGGGTCTGCCGCACCCCTCGCCCCAGCTGACCACGCCCGCCAGCCTCCACTGTCCATCACCCGTCTGGCACACCAGAGGACCCCCGCTGTCGCCCTGAGGGGCAGAACACATACGCGGTGTAAACATGAACATGCCCCGGGGCAGGTAGCTCTCTTACAGCTGCACCTGGAATACCTGGCAAGCATCCACCCCTCCCTCCATGGTCCCGGCGCAAAGCATTCTGGGAGTGAGGTAGGAGCCGTAGACGGACTGAGCGGAGCACGTGGTCTGATCGATGACCTGCACTTGCGCCTGCCTCAGCTGGGGCGACACGGTACCTGCACACAGGAGAAACAGCAGCACTGCGTTACCACAGCGGGTGGACTCTGTGTGGACTCCACTGGGCTCTAAATCAGACTCTAGAAAAACAAGAGGTTCTTCAGGATGGGTGACAGCTGGATAGCAATATTCATAACTAATAAGAGCATCAGCAAAAATGCTTACAGACAGGAAAATGACCTGTATATGTAGACACTGGAGACTTTCATTAGTTCATAATAGGTTTATTGTCCATATTATTTATTCGAATTGTTTTGTTCTGTATGTTTTGGTTGTTTATTCAGAAAATTGATAAAAAAGGCTGGGCAATATGACAATATATCATTATAGTGATAAATTATGTCTCAATACAATACAATACGCTTTTCTGATAAGCATATTGTGTTTATCATCAGTGCTTGTAGACACTGACCAACTGCATGACTCATTATAAAGAAAGTAAAATTAGTGCCAAATAATATTGCCAAACTAAGTCCATTAAACTGGACTTAGTGCCAAATACTGAATAAGAATCACAGTTTTTGATCATATTTTTAAAATGTAGCACTACTGGTTTAATTTCTCTGATCCAACTGATCAGATGTCTGAAAAAATGAATATTTTGACATATTGTGTATCGTGAAAATTTCTTTGAATATTAATAAGTATGAATATTTAATTTTTTGCCGTATTGCGCAGCTCTGTGGTCCTGTGTTTTTCACATTTGCATTTGGTATAAAGAGATTACTCTTGTCTACAGTCGTAAATGATCAAAAGAACACATAAAAAGCACCAGATTGTGTTTTTTATTCCTTTTTTCTGTAATTTCATTGATCCCGCTCTGTAAACAGCGCTGTGACAGTGTGTTCTCTGAGTTTGCTGTTTGACCTGGAGCTTCAAAACAGCAGCATACATCTGTATGGTGTACATCTGAGGAGGCAGGTTCTTACTACATCTACTACAGGAGGACGGCATTGACCAAAGGTGAAGAAAAACTCAGTAAATATCTGTAAACCACTGTTTACAGTATGTATGTAAATGGTCTGTAAATATATTATCATAATGGTGCAGCACTCAGTGTTTTACCTCCTTCTCGCGTGTAGCCCCAGCCGGTCACCCAGCAGGAGGAACCAGCAGGGAATGACTGTTTATAGCCCGGCAAACACACCGGCCGCACGCCATCTACAACACACACAGCACTTCTTCAGAACTGGAGAACATAACAGTTACTGCTACATCACTGTTACAGGTGATGGTCATTCATTGATTCCCCTTCAGAGGAGCAGAGACTTTATTAGCAACACAAAGTTTAAAAAATGACAAAAATGAGTCCAGAGAAACGTCCAAAAGTGTGCAGACAGCCTTTTAATGAGTGAATTCAGCCACTTTAAAAGGGAACTCAACCAGGGAACCAAATTGTAAAAATTAATACCACATAATTAAGCGGTTAAGATGTAAACAGAGCCGTTCAGAGAGGTTTGGTGTGAAACTCTCTGTCCTAGATAATCTTACCGAGTCAGAACTGTTCACAGTGGTGGTGATAGGAACCAGACGTCCACCTCTAAAAGCTCCTCACAGAAAGTTCCTACATGAAATGGTTATGAATTCACTGCCTGATGACTGAGACACTGTTTTATGATAGTTTAGAGAACATAAACTCCATTCATGGTGGAGGGATACATGCAGGGCGCTGTGAGGCAAAATAGTCCCCAAAGAAAACTTATTATTTCAGATTTTCCACTATTTTCCATCATCAACATTCCATATAAACTCAGAAGACTCGTGTAGGTTCACTGGTGGTTCTGGATAGTAAATAAAATGTCTATATTTGTGTTGTAGTCATGGTGACCCCTGGTTCCCATCACCACCACTGTAAAGACATCTAAGTCAGCAAGTTTCAAAGATTGAACTATGCAGAAATTTTGAAAAATGGTGGAATTCCCCTTTAAGGTGCACCCACTGCTGACACTGCTTATTTAATCTCCATAGAAAAGCACTGACCAATAGAATGGGATACTCTGGAGCAGCTGCACATGAGTCTAAGTTCTCCATGTCCAATGCCAAGCATGAGCTAGAGGGGTATAAGGCCCCCCAGCATTGGGCTCAGCATCTACTATGAATTATTCAGTATCAACTATGAATTATTCAGTATCTACTATGAATTATTCAGCATCTACTATGAATTATTCAGTATCAACTATGAATTATTCAGCATCTACTATGAATTATTCAGCATCTGCTATGAATTATTCAGCATCTACTATGAATTATTCAGTATCAACTATGAATTATTCAGTATCTACTATGAATTATTCAGCATCTACTATGAATTATTCAGCATCTACTATGAATTATTCAGTATCAACTATGAATTATTCAGCATCTACTATGAATTATTCAGTATCTACTATGAATAATTCAGTATCTACTATGAATTATTCAGCATCTACTATGAATTATTCAGTATCAACTATGAATTATTCAGCATCTACTATGAATTATTCAGCATCTGCTATGAATTATTCAGTATCTACTATGAATTATTCAGCATCTACTATGAATTATTCAGCATCTACTATGAATTATTCAGCATCTACTATGAATTATTCAGTATCCACTATGAATTATTCAGTGTCTACTAGGAGTTATTCAGTATTTATTATGAATTATTCAGTATCTGTGTGGGGATAGTTAAGCGCTATGCTAATGTGTCTAACAGTTAATGAACATCAGTGAGGTCTGAATACTGAGCAGTGAGTACAGATCGTCTTCCATTCACTGTGGTGTTCGTGTTTCTGGGTAAATAAACTGTGTCAGTCGCTGTAGCTGCTGGGAGTCTGTCTGAAACACACCTCCCATCCTCATCTCCGTCTCGGTCAGCAGGAGGCTCAGGTCGTAGTCGTTGGTGTTCACGGAGAATTTGGGGTGGGGGTGTATCTGCAGGGTGTTGTAGCGTTTGCCATGCGTCACAACGATCGTATCGATCAACACCTGCCAGTCCGACTCCAACATCATATTATACCTGAGAGGAACAACATCAGAGGATTAATCCTTTAAAGACATCGTCCAGATACTCACACTGTCTCTCTCTCTGTCTCTCTCTGTCTCTCTCTCTCTCTCTTTCTGTATTTCCATTCTCTCTCTCTCTCTCTCTCTCTCTCTCTCTCTCTTTCTGTATTTCCATTCTCTCTCTCTCTCTCTCTCTCTCTCTCTCTTTCTGTATTTCCATTCTCTCTCTCTCTCTCTCTCTCTCTCTTTCTGTATTTCCATTCTCTCTCTCTCTCTCTCTCTCTCTCTCTCTCTCTCTTCTGTATTTCCATTCTCTCTCTCTCTCTCTCTCTCTCTCTCTCTCTCTCTGTCTCTCTCTCTCTCTTTCTGTATTTCCATTCTCTCTCTCTCTCCTCTCTCTCTCTCTCTTTCTGTATTTCCATTCTCTCTCTCTCTCTCTCTCTCTCTCTCTGTCTCTCTCTCTGTCTGTCTGCCTCTCTCTCTCTCTCTCTCTCTCTCTCTCTCCTTCTGTATCTCCATACCCTCTCTCTTTCTCTGTCTCTCTCTCTCTGTCTCTCTCTCTGCTTACTCTACGAAGCAGTGTGCGGCGGTGATGATCCAGCGGGGGGTTATTATTGCCCCCCCACAGACGTGCTGCCCCCTCCACTGCAGGCTGGCCTGCCACCCCCACTGATCCTCCACCGCCAAAGACCCCCCGACTATCCTCACCGCTCGGCCCCCCACTCCCACCAACTCCACACAGTCTGAAACACACAGACACACACATGGGGGGACATAAAGGTTTTCATCCAACACAGAACTACACAACACGTCTCCACTTCAGAACCGTTAGAACAGGTTCGGTTCTCTGGTGAAGAACCCACATCCAGAGGGTTTCACTGACAGGGTTTCTCACCAGCAGGACAGTTTAGTCTGAGCAGCAGGTGTGGAAACTCTACCTGATGAGATGTTGACTGTTTGATTGACAGGAACCTTCTCAGAGGGGGAAAAGGGGGGTGACGTGACGCTGCAGTTCCATTTGATGTCACAGGGGGCGCTGCTGTCTTGCAGTTTGGATGGAAAGTAGACGTACTTCACTACAGAGGAGAAAATGATGAGACTCCTCATCAGACAACGTCTCTGACCCCATATCAGAAACAGAGACGGACAAACGAGCTTTTAAAATTAATATTCACATTGAAACACTGACTTCTGTCTTAAAGGAAAGGCTGTGAAGGGGAGCTATTTTGCATATATGCAAATATGAACAGTATAAAACTGGAGTTTCGTATAGCGCTGTGTCTTCTGCTGACTCCTTAAAAAAACTTTGTAATTTGATGGTTTTATTGTTGTTGTTGTTGTTGTTGTTGTTGTTGTTTGTCCTGTCTCTGATATACAGTAATGTTTATAGTACTGAGTCCTGCTGAGAGTGTTTATGTATATGAGTGTATAGAGTGTGAACAGGCTGTGTGACGGAGGGCATTACAGACCTGTTACAGCGACGACGACGACACAGATGATGATGATGATAATCAGAGCTGAAACTATCGCCAGACGAGAGGAACACGCAGACTGAGCAGAGACACCTGAGAACAACAACAAAAATATTCACTTAATCCTTCAACTTCACTCTTATTACACAGTTATTAACTATTTCTTCAGTATCTAATATGAATTATTCAGTATCTAATATGAATTATTCAGTATCTAATATAAATTAATCAGGTTTTATTATGAATTATTAATTAACTGCTATGAATTATTCAATACCTACTATAAAGCTACTGTGTAAGCGCTGTAGTCATGAGAGTGAGTTATTAACTACTATGACTGAATTATTAAAACACTACTATGAACTTTTTTCAGTGTCTATTATGAATTAGTAAAGAACTACCATTAATATTCAGTATCTACAATGAATTATTCAGTATACAATATGAATTATTCAGCAGCTAATGTGAATTAGTCTTATTCAGTTATTCAGTTTTTATTAAAGCAATAAGCTTTAATAAGCCACTTGAGGCCGTGTGTTACAGTGATTGTATCACAGGAAGGGTGTTGTTAGGCACAACGCGAAGCGGAGAAAACCTCCTTCCCTGTGATAAAGTCACCGTAGTTCACCGCCTCGAGTGGCTTATTGCGTTTATAAAACAGCAGCCAACATAAAACATAATAAAATACACTCTTTTTCGGAAAATAATTTGAATTATTATTAATAATAAACAAGTATTCCTCCAAGAAATGTAGTTCCTTTAGCGCATGGCATTGTTGCCATGGACCGCTAAATGAGGAGAGCGTTCCGTCTCCCGTCGCTGTTCACTGCGGTCATTCCATACATTTATTTTTACTTTTTGTCATATAATAATGAACATATGATAACACAGCACTGTTTAATGCAGACACTTTCACTTTATAAGGACTTTTTGGTCACTAAATCACCACCACGAGTCTTATTTAGCACCAGTCCATCCCCTCTTCTCAAACGGCTCCCTGCTCCCTACATAGTGCACTACATAGGAGTTTAAATACTGGATCCTGCAGCCCAACAGAGCAAAATACAGCTAAGAAACAGTCATTTGGGATTCAGACTCATCCACACTCGATACATGAGGCACTGTTTGGCTGTAGAGGCTAGAATTGCTAAACTTTCATAGCTAGAACACTATTTAGGGAGTACAGAGCCGTTTGGGATTCAGCCTGGGTTTCTGACTGAAACACGGACATTTGAAGTGTGTAAAACATTCAAGTGACATTTTTTGCCTTTTATACTGTCATTTTACAGTTAATCACACTGTAAGTACTTTAATTCAAGTCTGTGAGCGGTCATATGTCATGGATTTTACAACGGCTTAGAACACGGCTCAGCCAATCAGATTTTAGGACCCTAACTATCAGTTTTATAATATAAATTATTCATTAACTGCTGTGAATTCAGTATCTACTATGAAACTGCTGTATGTTCTGTAGTTATGAGAGTGAGTTATTAACCACTATGACTGAATTATTAAAGCACTTCTATAAACTTTTTAGTACTTAATATAAATTAATAAAAAACTACCTTTAATATTCAGTCTAATATGAATTATTCAGTATCTGTTGCTTGTGAAGGCAGAAAATATCAGGACCCAAAAACCCTTCAGCAGCACTCAGTGATGTTAAACCGGTGATTCATCATGCAGTTGGATTTTAAGGACACAAATTCTGATGATGAAAACTGGGATTTATTGAGGTTATGGAGCCGCGTTGATGCAGCTCACGCTGTGATGTAAGATCAGAATCCGAGATTCCGTTAAACACTGAAAGGCCGGATTCTGGAGACGTTCACAGGCTCGTTATTAAAGGAGGAATCATTAGAGGAGCGTTCAGTACCTGACTGTACCTCAGGAGTGTCTTTACAGAGAGCAGCGCCCCCTGCTGGAGCCGAACCCTCCACAGACAACAGCTCCACCTGACCGTTAGGGTCAGCCTCATTCTGCTGCGGAGGGGGGGCAGTACTGGGTGGGGCAGGAGGGGGGGCTGTATTGGGCGGGGCGGGCGGGGGGGCTGGAGCAGCGTCGGGGGCGGGCTGATACACAGCTGTTACCTGTGGACAGGTAGAGGAGGCTGGAGGGGTGAGGAGGTGGGTGGGGAGAGGAGAGAGGGCGGCGTTTGGGAAAGGGAGTGTGAGGGGCGTTAACACTGCTCCTGAGTCATGGAGACTGAGGAGGAGGGGCAGCTGAGCTATGGCAGAGGGATTCTGGGAAATGGAGTTTAGGGGTGGGGTCAGAAATGCAGGTCCAGGGGCAGATATAACAGCTAGAGGAGGGACAGTGAGTAGAGGTGGGGCTGTGGGAAGAGGCGGGGCTGTGGCAGGAGGCAGGGGAACAAAATGAGGTGGGGCTATGAGGGGAGGCGGGGCTGTGGGTGGAAGTGGTGGGGGGTGAGATGGCGGTGGTGGTGGATAAATGGTGGGTAGATTTTGGGTGGATGCCCCCAGCTGGAGAAAAGGCAGATGACAGGCATTAGTGCATAAAAAAACCCTAGAGGCTAGAAATAGTAATTGCAATATTTAATATACAATCCAACGCAGTAAATCCAGGATATCGTAATGAAGCAATAAGCAACTAGAGGTCGCGCATTACAGTGATTTTAACCTGTGATAAAATCACTAACACACACCCTCAAGTGCCTTATTGCTTTAGTGCAACAGCAACAATGTAAATGTGATAACATTCACAAATGCATAATTAATAAGTTTGTCCACCATTTTTTCAAAATTCCCCCATAGTTCAGTGTGAGGTGTAATCAGAGCAGTTCAGAGTGGTTTGGTGTGAAACGCTCTGTTCTAGATAAACTTACCGAGTCAGAACTGTTCACAGTGGTGGTGATAGGAACCAGACGTCCACCTCTAAAAGCTCCCTCACAGAAAGTTCCTACATGAAATGGTTATGAATTCACTGCCTGATGACTGAGACACTGTTTTATGATAGTTTAGAGAACTTAAACTCCATTCATGGTGGAGGGATACATGCAGGGCGCTGTGAGGCAAAATTGTCCCCAAAGAAAACTTATTATTTCAGATTTTCCACTGTTTTCCATCATCAACATTCCATATAAACTCAGAAGACTCGTGTAGGTTCACTGGTGGTTCTGGATAGTAAATAAAATGTCTATATTTGTGTTGTAGTCATGGCGACCCCTGGTTCCTATCACCACCACTGTAAAGACATCTGAACCGTTTGACACCAAACCACTCTGAATCAGTCTGATTATAAAATTTTGGAAAAAATTTTCCTCTTTATACTCTGTTAAAGTGGACCTTCACTCTTCTCTGACAGGGTCTGACCCCTGGGCGATTTCTGTGTAATTGTACACTCTCGGAAATGACTGACCGCTGCACACAGAGAATATGCTCAATTATTAATTTCTGAATGGTGTCCTGGCTCTATAGGCAGATCAAAAGCAGGATGTTGGCTCTATTTTTGAGAATGTTCGACTGTTTAACAGTTCAAAGGCAGTCAGGACAGGAGAGCCTGTTTCAGCTCAATCTGTAGAAAAGGCTTTCACCTCTCTCCTATTGACGAGCACAGCGGCTGGTACAGCTTCTCCTTACCTGAGGCAGAGCCATAATGAAAGAGTTGTCCGTCTTTTCTTCTACTCCTCAGCTCCCAGATGAGACTCCAGCAGTTGAAGCTGTGAGTAAAAGCCTCCCGAAGGCAGCAGGAGTGGACGAGTGAAGAACAAAGCCATGGACGGTCAGTAGAGCTGCAGGAGGCTGCAGGGCGTCTCACTCATCACGCTCTGTTCTTTATTCTTCTTCACAGCCTTCGCTCTGCTTTTCTGCCACTTCTTCCTCTCCAAACCTCCATCACTCCATCTCTACCTGCCCTCCAGGTGTTCTGGCTGGCGCGCTCGGTGGACGCGGCGGCCCGACTGTAACGGATAGCTGTACGTCAGTCGGCCTAATGAAAAATGCATGCTAATGATTGTGGGGTTGGGTCGGAGTTGAGCAGCTGAGGATAATGTATACTCTGTTACAGGGTCATAGTTGAGCGCAGCGGCCTAAACACTGCACACACAGGCCAAACAACTGCTGTACATGGTAAATTAGAAGGGGAATTCCACCCATTTTTCTAAATTTCTGTACAATGTAGTAAGTCTTTGTGGACAAACTTAATAAACCAGATGTCTTTACAGATCACCATGACTACAACACAAATATAGACATTTTATTTACTATCCAGAACCACCAGGGGGAATATAATTAAGGAAAATCTGAAATAATCAGTTTTCTTTGGGGACTATTTTGCCTCACAGCGCCCTGCATGTATCCCTCCACCATGAATGGAGTTTAAGTTCTCTAAACTATCATAAAACAGTGTCTCAGTCATCAGGCAGTGAATTCATAACCATTTACTGTAGGAACTTTCTGTGAGGGAGCTTTTAGAGGTGGACGTCTGGTTCCTATCACCACCACTGTGAACAGTCCTGACTCAGTAAGTTTATCTAGAACAGAGCGTTTCACACCAAACCACTCAGAACCACTCTGAACCACTCTGTTTAAAAGGGCAACTCCACTAATTGTTCAAAATTTCTGCTTAATGAAACAGTTAAGATGTAAACAGAGCCACTGTTTTATGATAGTTTAGAGAACTTAAACTCCATTCATGGTGGAGGGATACATGCAGGGCGCTGTGAGGCAAAATAGTCCCCAAAGAAAACTTATTATTTCAGATTTTCCACTATTTTCCATCATCAACATTCCATATAAACTCAGAAGACTCGTGTAGGTTCACTGGTGGTTCTGGATAGTAAATAAAATGTCTATATTTGTGTTATGGCTTTATACAACATAAGACACCTGGATCAGTTCGATTATAAAGAAAAACAAGTTGCTAAGTTTCCCTTCAGTTCACCGTCTCTCATCAAACTCCTCTGAATGACTTTGTTTACATCGTAACTCACCGACGGGTCCAAAGATTTATTACACACTGCTATAATCTAAGAATAGCTCAGCCAGTTTGTACTGAAGTCTCTGTAGTTACTGAGTAATAAGCCTTAGTGTCTAATAAGACTGTAATGTAGATGGTTCAATATTTTTTAGAACCTTTTTTAGAACCTTTCTGAAAATGGTTCTATATAGCACCAAAAAGGGTTCTTGTATTGTCGTAGACAGTACTCTTACGACCTCATAACAGTAGCAGAACCCTTTTTGGTGCTATATAAAAACCATATACAACACAGTCTCCATCAATCTGAAGAACCATTTCACCATGCAGAGAACCATTTAATCATGCAAAGAGTTCTTTGCGTGTTTATTGCTCTATATAGAATCATTTTCTTTACTAAAGAACCTTTGAAGAACCATCTTTTTTAAGTGTGTGAGATTGTAAGGGGTTAATGACTGAAATAAGCAGAAATTTTGAAATATCAGTGGAGTGTCCCCTTTTAATAGATGAACCAGCGTTATTAATTGTGTGAGATCTAGACTGATGATCTCCAGCGCTGGTGTTTTATATCTGGGGCTCTACAGTGTCGCTCCTCAGACTGCAGAGTGACTTACTGTAACAGTGAGTGTGTGTTTAGGGGTTCAGGTGTTCAGGTGTGCGACACCCAGCCGGAGAATCCTGTCTCACCCCTCTGGTGTGTCTGTTGTGTATCGTGTTACAGGATTAGCGAGCGTGAGGTGCTGGCAGTCGGCGTGAGAGCAGCAGAATCTCTAAGAGAGCCTGTAACTGAGTACACGGCAAACTAGACACACACATCACCTGTGTGTCACACACACCTGTCCAGCCTCCTCACACAGGCACGCTAGTGTCTCTACACCTTAATCACTTCGAAAACACAGCTGCACGACAACTTTACCACAACTAGAAGGGTGAAATTTGAGTCTGAGTGCAGAGTTTCAGTATTTCATAACAGAGAACACTGTTTCTCTGTATCTACACACTTAAAAAGACGGTTCTTTGAGGGTTCTTTAATAAAGAAAATGGTTTTATATAGAATCAATAACATTCAAAGAAACCTTTGTATTATTAAATGGTTCTTTGCAGGGTTAAATGGTTCTTCAGATTGATAGAGAATGTGCTGTAGATGCTTCTATCTAGAATCTTATTGAAAAGACTTCTGCTCTAGTTATGATGTCAAGCTTGTAACAATAGAAGGACCCTTTTTAGTGCTATATAGAACGCTTTTCAAAAAGGTTCCATATAGAACCACACATTCTCTATTAACCTGGTTAAATATATATAGAACCATTTTCCTTACTAAAGAACCCTCAAAGAACCAACTTTCTAAAAAGGGTTCAGGGCTGCGAATGGATCCCAAAACAAACAGATTCCTCAATTCCAGGCATTCAGTTCCACACAGCAGGGGTTCCATAGACTAGTAAACTAATAAATCCACTAGTGGGCGCTATAAGCAGCAATCAGCAAGTCGAGGACAGAGCCTGAAATACAGTGGAGGTACAAACTGCAGTGAAGAGGCAGAGAGAACAGAAACGAGCATTTCTGCTCAACACAGAGAACCAAGTACTTTATTAGAGTGAAATACGACACAAAATGAAACCAGTTCCACTGCAAACTGAAACACAGGCCTGAGAGTCAGACAGGACAGGTTTTGGACAGCGTACGGACCAGAACCAGGGTAACACTTTACACTGAGAGCTGCAAATTTGTTGATAGTTACACATTAATAGGTCATTAAATACTAGTTCTCATGTTATTCATATGAGTAAACACACTTATCCGTTCATTAGCGGTTTAATAAGCAGCAGTTAATGAGCAATGAAGCTGTGAACTGAGGACAACTGAACAGTGTGCTCAATTACTAATTACTCAGTACTTAATCAGTAACTAATGCTTAATGAGTAGTTAATTAATATATACACAATGAGTGTTTAAATACTTAATAGCATATAATTATTAATACAGTTCTGACCCTTAAAGTGTTACCAGAACCAGATTAAATTCTCAGTGCCTATTTTAACACACAGATTTCCTCCAGTCTGATTAAAAACATACTTGTGTTTAATCTTCTCTTTCTCTTCGTTCATTTGCTCATTTACTCGTCTGAACAGTTATCGTGAGCTTTACAGCGTCCATCCTGATAACTATCCTGTCTTTTAAAGCTTGAAGTATAAACTATTATTCGTCTGTTTAATGGATTATTTACAGGGTTACCCACCTCGTTTTAGACGGACACACCAATCCACCAGTTCCACACGGTGAGAGGCAGATGACGTGTATCTCAGCCCCTCTTCATAGGCTCATAACTCCGGATGTGAGTCTCGTATGATCTCGTGATAAGATGGAATGGAAAGGGCGACTCTACAGATTCAGGAAGTGTTTGAACTGGATTTCTGAGCTGGATCATCACGAAGATATGAATAGAAACACAGAGAAACATGTAATTTGATGCACTGGCGCCATTGTCCACCCCAGAGGGCTAAACACAGTCCTGCACAACTGACACAATAAACAAACAGCATTTACACAAATTATTTTTTTATATTGACTTGGTCGTTCACCTACGAAAGACCAACATCCAGTTTGCTTCTGGATTTGTAGATCAGACACATGTCTGAATATGTTCCATCAACGTTATTTAAGAAAAAACACATAGCTCAACTGAGGAGCTCCAAAACAGGTGGAGTTAAAGGCTGTTTACAGCAGGCAGACCCTCCTGCTGAACCACTTAAAGAGAGCTGAAAGATCACAAACAGACAATTTGGACCACCAAAATGTTTAATCAAAGCAACGATAAATTACAGCTGATGGGTGAAATCAGTAGCTTTACCATTATTGTTTTGTTTACTGACGATCATCTAAATCACAAAATCTGACATGCAGAAAAAAAACCTTACCAACATTTTAATGGCAAAAATGTCTCTCTGAAAAAAAAACATGATCTTCATGTACACGATTGATACGCTGTTTAA